CTTTTACATATTGAAAAATTTTGAACTTCCTCTAGACATTTAAAATGCTGTTATCAGATTTAGGATCTCGCTTAGATGCTATTTAGAGTGTTGACCTGTTTGTTTTAGCAGCAATGTACCCTGTTGTGTTTGGGCTGCACATTTCAAAACTTTCCATTCACAGCGATTCTATACTGGTAAGCTTTCCATCTCTAACAAAATACTGGACATAAACAACTTCAAGGAGGAAAGACTTATTTTGGCTTATAGTTTTAGAGGGGTCAGTTCATGCTCACTTGGCTCTCTTGCTTCAAGTGCTGAGACAGCATGGTGGAAAGACATGGCAGAGGAAAGCTACTCACCTCATGGCAGCCGGAAAGCAGAGAGAGATGGAAAAAACCTGAAATGGAAACATAATAACCCCCAAGGTCACACCCCAATGACTCAGTCCCTTCAACTAGGCCCCACCTCCTAAATTTCGTTTACCTCCTCAAAATCCCATCAGAATATGGTCTCATCAGGAGAGTAACCCATGGGTACAGCTACAGCCCTCATGATTCAACAACCTTCTGAGAACTCTGCTTCTGAACATGTGAGACCTTTGGAGAGCATTTTAGATCCAAACCATAACAGGTTCCAATGCTAGTTTAGTCTTCAATGCTTTGCAGCACCATTCAGATCTGTCCCACATAAGCAACACTCACTGGCAAGTCTTACACATGTCTTTTCATCTGTCCACTAGGTTGGTTCTCAAAGTCTTTCAGATGCTAATTAGCATCAAATCCATGCATGCATAATTAGGTCTGAGCTCAGAAGTATACAAAACACTTCATGGGGCTGCTTTTCCAATACCTCTCCATGACCTCCCAGGTGCTGTCTGGTTCTCTGAGGTTCCCTTTTTGTCATCCTCCAGCTATAAAGATGGAGTTTAGTTAGCCTACTCTGCTACACGTGTCTCCAGAGATGGGAGGACTAGAGGGGAAAACGTTACACTTATCACCAGTTTGGCAATACTTTGAATTCTGTCTGATCTTCTTCCCCAATCTGCTTGCCTTTATTTTTCAGTCCTCCAGTAGCTTCTCCATGTTTGTTTTCCAGAGGTTATGGCTGCATTCAATAAAACAAATCAGGGAAGTCATCTATTCTGTGTTATCAGAGTCAGAGACCATAGCCCATATATTTTAAAAGAGTTATCTGTTTATTAAGTTCTGGAAATGTATGTTCTATGGCATGGTAGGCAAGATTTGAGAAATTTATGAATAACACAACATATCCTATGACTGAATCAAGGTTTACAGAGATTTTGAAGTGTTCAAGGTAGGTCATGTCAACAAGATGACTTCAAAAGGACAAATTTACAGTCATCCCTTTAGGGACATATGCATGTATGTGTGGATTTGTTAAAAACAGTTTGTGGGGAGATCTTAGTTGGAGTGTCAAATGATCAGATGCTTGGTATGAACCAATTATGTATAATATTCATTTACTCATTTATTTAACAATATCATGTGGTTGCTATAAAAGCAAATTCCACCTTACTTTGCATATAAAAGTATAGAGTTCAGGACAGTGACAATACTGCAGATGCCACAGAGATGAGACAATGTCTGAATATTGCATTTATTTCTTTGACACACCTTGAAGAAGCCACCAAGCCCCAGGTACCTCAGGAGCTGAGATATGTGGTAACTGGAAGGTGATAGTCTTTCCAGGCTGATCATCCTGGAAACCAAGTGGAGATATTTAAAAAAATGTTTAAATTTATAAGGCCTGTTATCTAGAAGCTTTGATAAACTCCTGATTTGTTACTTAGGCAATAGAAGTTACAGGATCAATAGCCATGAATTACAGGAAATTGGGTTTTGGCCAGTCTCTTCAAGTGTGTTAGCTGTTTCACCAGATGTTGGGTACAGAGTTGAGCAGGACAAAATCCCTTTCCTCACAGAGCTAATTTATAACTTCATTTTGCACATAAAAACTGGTTTGACAGAAATGACTCTTCCAGAAGTGAGGCTCACTAGAGAACTAAACACAAATGAAGAAATTTTAGGTTCTTTTTGAGAGACTGAGGCTGAGCTCATGGTATCTGGACCTACATGTGATGTTGGTACCCACCAACAACCAGGACTCATTAATCAGGACAAGTTAAGAAGGCAGCCTCAGGAAAGTCTGAACTGTGTTCATGAAGTAAAGCAAAAATTTAAAGCCAAAATGTGATCCTGAGCATCAGGTACACAGAGCCCAAACTGTCAACCTGAAAGCAATTCAAGAGTCCAAAGACAGCACAAGAAAAGAGGAAGCATGGTAAAGCCAGCAGCCTGGCAACCACATGGGCAGGGAGTGGCTTGTCAGGGAGCTCTGCTATCAAATGGGCTTTGGCTTGAATCAGATAGGACTGGACAGCAGGCTGAATGACCATGTGTCATGGTGTCGAAGATAGGGCTTGTGATGTTTCTCTTCCATTTGCCTCTCCAGCTCTGCGCTCCACCCTTCTGTACCCCAGTGTATACCTAGGAAGTTGACCTACATAGTGTGCATCAGTGGAATCCCTCTTAGTCTGTTTTCCATTGCTGTAATAAAATACCGAACCTGGATAGATATTTATTTGGTTCTCTGTAGTCCTGGTGGTTGGAAGTCTAGAGCATGGTGTGGCATCTGGTGAGGATCTTCTTGCTGCAGAGGGTATCACACGGAAAGACAGAGCAAGTGTGCTCGCTCAGGTCTCCCTCATCATGGGAGTCTCACCCTCAGCGTCTCACTTAACCCTAATTATCTCTCAAAAGTCCTACATCCCAAGCCTATTAACATATGCATTTGGAAATCAAGCTTGCAGCACATTGACTTTTAAGGCACACATTCAAACCATGGCAGAATCCTTGCCCTCTGGACTCAGTGAAATTTAGATAACAGCTAACAGTTGAAGAGGAGAAGGAGAGTGCAGTCAGGATATCCCTGTCCTTAGCTTGTCTTTCTGTGCAGTCAGCTTTGGATTTCCAATTCCCTTGGCTGGGGGTCGCAGTCCTCTTCAAGTGTCCCTGTTTGTATCAGTCTGTCTTCCAGGATCCAGTAGCCACTATCTGCCTTCCTGTCCCTCCACATCTAGAGGTGGTACCAACTCCAGTTACCAGCTCTGAAGTAATGTGCTGTCCTTTATTGTTCCCAACATCTTACCCTTATTTTCTTTTTTAAAAAATTATTAAACTCTCCCTGAATTATCCTAATATGAATTTGCCGTATGTTTCTTGGCGGAACCCTGGGTGATACAGAATTCTGCACTGAGTGAGGAGGTGAACTCAGTGATTTCTAAGAATATACACATTTTTATGGCTCTGGATTTCTTATCACTGACCTCATGTTTTTGTATACCCCAAAATGATGAGGATTACCTTTCTGCATCTGGAAATATTTGCAAAAATTATCCAGAATAATTGCAAATATTGTTGGGGTGTATATGAAATTCACCTAGAGACTTATGATTAAGTTTGGTCATATAATAGATATCATTTATAATTTTTATAAGAATTTATGTTTTCAGGATGAATTGCAATACTTTTCATTTACTGTTACCACGTCTGTAGGGTCAGCCAACATCATTACTGTTATTATATAAATCAAAGGAAACTAAGCATGGTGGCCCATGCCTATAATCCCAGCACTCTGGGAGGCTGAAACAGGGCAATCACAAGTTCAAGCCTAGCCTGAGCAACTTGGCAACTTAGCAAGAACCTGACTCAAAATATTTATAAAAAAATTTAAAAGGGCTGAAGATATACCACATGTGAAGGGTCTAGGTTCAGTCCAAAGAAGGAGAAGGAGGATGAGAAAGAAAAGGAGAATAAGAAGAAGAGGAAGAGGAAGAGAAAGGAAAGGAAGCTTATTTGTACTGAGTAACTACATCCCTGACTTTGACAAGTTTAAGTCATAAATAACCTGCTAAATCACACTGTGACCCTTCTAGAAACCCTGAGTAGTTGAAACTCTTCCTAATATTGCTATTCCAAGGATATCCCAGATCCTCAAAAAAAAAAAAGATTTAAAATACCGAATGACTTCTGAGTTGAGCAATCCATTGAAGACAGATTGTCTTCCAATGTGAAGATCATTGCCAGCTAACTCAGAATAAGAAGGTTCTGTTGTTTGCTTTAATGTCAAAACTATGTTACTTCTAAAGGGTCATTATCTTTCAGAGATATGCAGTGAGATGTTTCTGAATAAAATCACAGGAGTGAGGTTTAATTCACAGTAATAGAGAAAGGGTACCAGCTGGGAATAAAGAAAGGACTAGATAGCAATGAGTTGGCATCTATGGGAGCTGGGGATGGAGAAATGAAGGTCCATCAAACAATGCCCCCTACTTTTGTATGATTTGGGATTATAGAATATTAAAAGTTAGATGGTCACAAAATTAAATAAAAAGTCACTTTTTTCCAGAGGAAAACTGACTTATTGTTGATCTGTAGCTGCCCATGATGTCATTGAGGAGCTCTGTGTGTGGGTTTCAGAACTGTAACAGGAAAAATGTATTGAAACAAAATGTAAATGAGGAATGCTATTTTTGTGAGAGTTTAATCAAACCATGCTCAATGGAAAACATCAAGAAGATAGTATTCAGAAAGTACATTTAGAGTCTTTCACAAAATGAGAAGGGAAGCAAACAGAACTATATGCATATTTAATAGATATTCTGTGTGGGTTCCTAAGTAACTTGGGGTGGGGGAGAACAGGGTGAGGGTATATATAAAGTAAGACTGGTCATGAGTTAAGATTTTTTTGAGTTGGGGAGATTGATATGGGGGAGTTTGTTATGCTATCCATTCCACTTATATACATGCTCTTCAATTTTCCATGGAATGGTTTAAAAACAATAAAACATGCTACACATCAAAACATTACCATTTTACTTGAAGATAGTATTACGTGATTTTATAAAATGTGACACAGTGTTTCCTCTTGCCTCCTTCAATTCCGCACTTTCTAACACATTACTATTTGTCCATTTCTTTCCTCTTCCCCACCCTTAGTTTTGTCTGTTGTATGGAACCAAGCTGGTGTTCCAGGAGCGGGCCTGGTTTTTAGAGCATAAATATCTGACTCCCGTGGCCAGCATGAGGATCAGGAGTCAGGTAAGGAGCCCTGGGGTTCAGAAGAAACCTCCATGCACCAGTTGTTGGCTCTTTGCTTTCCTAGAAAACAGTCCTACCAGCTTTTTATCAGTTTCCACTCACAGACTTTTATGCCTCTGAGACTTCACATACATGTTTTCATTGCCTGCCATGATCATATTATGCTCCAGTTTAAGTGGCAAGGGAATGACTCAACTGTACATGAACTTTCTGACATGAAAAGCAGAAAGTTTTTTTACTTATCTTGTCAAAAAGAAATTACTAATGATCGTTTTTCTACTTGTGAGAAAACCTATACACTTATTTTTCATATCCAGAAAAACACCTGTTGTATGATAGCTACTGAGCCACTGAAAATGAAGGTAGGGCCAGAGAATAACCACCTACATGCTACTGAAAAGAAAAAGAATGTAAAACAGCATAATCATCAGTAAAACATACTTCTCAGTACCTCCTCTCTGCAGTCTGTCTTCGAAAGCTTTGCAGGTCTCTGTGTTCAAGGGAGGTCATTCTGTTTGGGGGCAGAAAACTGAGATTATGGCTAAAAGTATGTGTGATGTTGTTTTAGCCATTGTGTTGTTATGTCACAAGTGATCCCAAAACTTATGACTTAAAACAACCACCATGTATTATTTCTCACAATTCTACAGTCTAGACAGGATTCAGCTACATAGTTCTCCTGCTTCATGTGCAGTCTGATGGAGCTAAGTGTCCAAGATGACTTCTTCACTCTCAAGGCTGCCACCCCAGCTGGGATGCAGGAACAGATGGGGACTATTGAACCACTGTCTTCTCCCTGTGGCCTCACTTGAGTTTCCTCACATTACAGTAGTCACAGGGTAGTGGAATGTTTTGCATAATGTATGGTTTCTAAGATGGAGAGTGGAAGATGCAACATGATTTCCACAGTTATCATTCACTGAATCCTCATGGCAGCCTGGGAGATAGGTGGGAAGGAGCCAGCCTCTTCAGAATAAGCTCTGCCTGTAGGGTTAGAGCTAGGTTTCTCAGGCCTAAAGGAGTGGTTTAGAGCCTTCTTGGTCAGATTTCTGAGCTGCAAACTTGGCATGCACCCTTTTCTGGGATTTTTCTATTATTCCAAAAGATGGGAAAGTAGGAGAAGCTTTCTTTTCCCACTTGCACCACACTTTTGCAAGGATCTCAAAGCTCTAAGAAATTATTAGCAATTTTTCTTTACTAAAATGTCTAAGTCTTTTGGTCAATTGAAGATGCTAAATAGGAGCATGCTTGGAAAGATACATAACAGAGACTTGGGATGCTTGGTATCACTGAAAGTGATCTGTTTTCCCCTGGTATTTCTTCAAGTTTATTGATCTTCCTTTATCTAACATACTGGTTAACTCAGTCTCAAAATTTTTAAGTCCAATTTCTGGAATTTTGATTTTTAAAATTCTTTTTATTTATATTGTCCATGACACTTTCCAGTTTTCTATTTCCCAAAGATGATTCCATCTTGCCTTTTATTTCTTTACACACTGAAACATAATTTTCATAATCTGTAGCTAGTAATTCCAATATCTTAAGTCTTTGTATGTTTATTTCTTTTTGTCTGTTGCTTCTCCAATGTATCTAGTTATTTTTTATTGTGTGTTGCTCATTGTTTTTGAAGATGGAAGGTTCATATGAAGGCCAAACTGAAGTTACTTCCCCTTACAAGGCCCCTGAAGGTCCTCTCAGATTGAGACCCATCTTAACCCAAATTCAAAGCTTGAGGTTTCTTCAGACTCACATACTTGAAGTAAGGGTTAGAATTTCTTTATCCTCCCAAGCATTATAGTTCTTTGGCACCTCAGCTTATCGATGTAAGGGTCTCCTGGTAAATTTCTTGCCTAGAGGTGGCACTGGCTTTTTACTATCTTCACAACCTACCTCTCCTCAACTGTTATCAGGCTGTCAAAGAGAAAATTCAGATTTTCTGGAAAATGATGCCATCAGGGAAAATATAGTCTTCTTACTTATTTCTCTAGATTCCCATTTTAAATTTTGGCTTTATTGTTTGTTTGTTTTTGGTACCGGGGATCGAACTCGGGGCCTTGTGCTTGTGCAGCAGGGGGCAAAACCACTGAGCTAAATCCCTGGCCCCTTGGCTTTATTGTTTTTTCAGATCATTTGTTCTTTGAAGATATTTCTCTTTTTTTTCTCCAAATATTTTGGTTGTTTTCAATAGGAAAGTTGGTTTTAAAAAATTTCTATTATCAGAAAAAGAAAATCTCTTTAATATTGTTTCATATGACCTCAGGAAAACCTGTGTGTGCTTTTCATTATCCCTACACATCGATGTGGAAACTGACCCCCAGTGCAGCAAAGTAACTTGCCTAAGGGAAACACTCCTATCTTTCTGACTCCAAATATTTTCATTCAATGTATATGAATAATAATCATCATTAGCCAGTAACAGCAAGTATATTTAGTGACCAGTTCTTAGTTTCAAATACTATTTATCCAGAAAAGGAACCAGGATTCTTGGAGAATAGCTAATTCTATGGGTGGGACAGTACATATACAGAAATTCCCAATGGTCAAAACTAGAACAATCTGAATAACAAAATAAAGAATGTGGTATTGGATTATAAATCAAAGTATAGAATAATTAAACACAAGTCCATAATGTTATAGATGAATAATTAAATAAGTAAATAAATGAGGGGGGACAAGTCTTTTTTACAAAGAATTCCAAATAATATATGTAGATACTCCTTTCTCCTGGAGCTGACACTTAACCTCCCTTAACTCTGAGTGTGGCTTGGGACTTAAAGAATAGAGTACAGGAAGGGGAAATAGTTTACAGACATGGATGATGCACTTTAAATGAGGAAGTAAGTTTACTGTCACTGGTGACAGGAAGTTGTGTCCAGAGCATATGCCTCTGATATCAGAAGATAAGAAGAGCTCTTCCTTTCTCCCCTAAAACCCATAACTAATCATACAGAAGGTCTAATTATACAAAAACACATCCAATAAAGCTGAACTGAGGATGGTCTACACAACATACCTGACAAGGACTCCTCAAAATTGGCAGTGCACAAAAGACAGGGAACAAAACCATCACAGATCAGAAGAGACTGAGGAGATATCATGATTCACTCCAGTGTTGTGTTCTGAACTGAATCCTGGAGCAGAAAACGGACTTCAGTAATGAAACTGGTGAGATCTTAATAAGTCTATAGTTTACCTACAAACCTAGGATTGGGTTTTTAGCTTTTACATACAATGGACCATAGTTACATGTGATATTAACATTAAGGAAACTGGGTGAAGGACATATGAGGACTCTGTATAACCTTTGGAACTTTTCTATAAATCTAAATATATACCAGAATAAAAAGTTTATTTAAAAGAAGCAATAAGCCTAAATTATAAAGCCTACTAGAACACCCAGGAGTTATATCAAAGCTGCAGTTTAATGATAAGTATAAATGCATATATTTATACTAAAACATTACTTTATTCTCAGAGACATCTTTAAGGTTAGAAAGGCTGATATAATCCCCATCTAACAAAAGAGCAAATTTTAAGAAACAGGGAAATTAAACAACTGTCCAATATTCTAGCTGAGCATAGAAACCTGAACTCCTATCCCAGAGAAGGATTAAGCCCGAGGCACTATCCCTTTGTAGGCCTCCTGTTCCTTTGGAGCACTACAGGTCCCTAAAAGACCTGCAGAGGTCACACACTTCCCCTATAGACCTACCCAGTGTCCTGATGTAGGCAAAAACTCATGCACATGTAGAGGAAGTAGCACAAGTACAATTGTCCAACTAAGGCACACAAGAAAAGGTATTGGGTTAATTTATTTTTTCAGTTCAAGCCAATCCCCTTTAGCCTTTCAGGCTCGATAACTAACTCTCTTCTTTGTCTGGGACTTCAGTGTTACTGGGCCATTCTCATTATCTTGGGTAAATCACCTTCAGCATGAATAGCCATCACTCCATGTAGCAATCTGAGCTTCACTTGCTCCTTAATTAGTGAGTGTCAAAGCTGAGGCTTCCTCAATGGGTTTCAGACTCTAGTGCCCACTGCTGTTCTAATGTCTCCAGGGCTGAGGAGCAGGATGAGCCTTCATTGGTGGACCTTAGCTCAAAGGTGATCCGGTGGTGGTCACCCAGGGCTCCATCATAACAAGGTCCCTTGTACAAGGTGCCCATGTCTTGTCCATTCTGTATAGAACAATTTTGTTCTTTGTTCTTGGAAAATTCAATGTCCAGGCATTATCATATTTCAGTCTGCATTAACCCACACATTTGTATTTATTTTGCTTCAGATAATTATCAGCCTTAAAAGAGTGACAACCAAGGCTCATTTTCAGGAAAAAAAGGACCCAACAGTTAATAATTTCATATCTCTGTTTAAAACACCAACTTCAGTTTGCTATAAAAAAAAAAGAAAAGAAGAATCTCAAGGTGGTATATTTTAATGAAAATGAATATTTGTGATTTGTGAGTGCATGCAGATCCCGGGGAGCAGCTGTGTGGCCCAGACCTGAATGATTGCAGGCAGATCCCACCCGGGGGTCCTCCCCAACACCAGAGGATCTGGCACTCACCCCACGCCCCCAGGCCAGGAGCCTGCCTAGAGAGGAGCTACATGGGCACATGGGCTTCACCCAGAGGCTCGCCATACCATTGGCCACAGCCAGGGACCCACCTGGAGAAGAGCTGCATAGGCATACAAACAAAACCCAGAGGCTCACCCCGATACCATTGATAAGTGCAAGGAGACCCTAGCCAAAACCTCTGCGGACAACAGAAACTGGGGTGCACAGCTCCCAACCCAAAGGCCCTCCCAGACAGTAGCTACATAGGGGCCCCAGCAAGAGGCATGCCTAGATAACATCCCAAGTGTGCTCAGGCCCAAGCCAGAAGCCTGACCAGAAAACAGGTAAGCTCAGGGATCTAGAAGGCCACCACTCTGAACCCAGGAATTGGTGTACTGATGAGCAGCAGAGTAAAGCCTGCCCAGTGGCTTGCTGAGAATTCAAG